GCGAACCTCTCGTCAGCCTCAGCCTCCTCCTCCTCCTCCCGGGAGAGGGGCCCGGCAGGCGAGGCGGGGGGCTGCCCAGCCCCACTCTGCAGCTCAGCCTCCAGCTCCCGCAGCTCCCGCGAGAAGCTCTCGATGCTCAGGCTGGAGCCGTTGGGCTCGCTGGGCGCCCGGGCCAGCAGCTCGTCGATCAGGGAGTCCACGGACGGCTGCTCCCAGGCCAGGGCCGGGGCGGTGGGGGAGCCGTTCTCCGCCTGGGCCTTGAGCCCCCTCTGCTCCCGCTCCGAGCCGGCGGAGGGGGGGCCCCGGCGCACCTTCTTCACCACCACGTCCCCGTCCGGCCTGCTGGGCCGGCTCGGCTCCGCCCCGGGGGCCCCGTTCAGGAGAGGGGCCGAGTCCTCGACGTCGGGCATGGGGGGGCCGGCGCTGGGCTCACTGCTGCTGGGGGCCCCGGCCGGCCCCCCGCCCTCCTCTGGCAGGCCCCTCTTCTTAGTGCGCGGGGAGGCGGGGCCGGGGGGACCGGCGGGGCCGGCGCTCGGCCGCTCCCCATCATAGGGGGCTGACCAGATGCGGCAGGCCAGCACGCACTGCTCCACACTGAGCTGAGCGTCCCGCAGGTACTCCAGGTAGTTCCCATCCAGCTCCGCCACCTCTTCCCACCGGGCCGGGCGGTGGGAGGGGCTCCCGGTGGGCGTGGCCAGGCCGGGCGAGCGGGGCGCCGGGCTCCCCGCCTCCGAGCTGCAGCTCTGCTGGCGCATGAAGAAGGCGAGGCGGGAGGGCGTGGAGGGCTTGGGCACGGTGACCACGAAAGAGGTGTCCACAGTGGGGCTCCCATGGGCTGCGAGGAGAGAGCCGAGAGGGAGCGTTACCGCAGGCCTGGTCCCTGCCCCAGAGCGCCCCAGCCCCGGGGGGGGGGGGGGAATGGAGACCTGCCCACGGAGCTCACCGCTGGGTACCCCGAGCAGCCCCCCCATCTCCCAGGTGGGCACCTCCCGCCGGCCTGACTCCTGCGGGCCAGCCCCCAACAGCCACCGCTTGGACACCCCCAGAGACCACACCAAGGGCCCCCTTCCCCGCGGGCACCAGGGGCCGGCCCACCTTTGGCCCAGGTGGCGTGCTCCTCCCGGTCGGGCGCGGGCAGGCTCTCGGCCCGGCAGCAGCGCGGGATCAGCGACAGGAACTTGGCGGCCGTCTTGCCGTAGATGTCCAGGTCCTTCACCGCCCGCCTCTGGCTCAGCATGACGTGGCTGCAGGGGATCAGGTACCTGGGGGCAGTGGAGCAGCCCGGTCACACCAGGACGTCCCACCAGGGCTCGCCCAGGCCCCGCTCTCAGCCCATTGGGGGGCAGGCGCCCGCTGTTCCCGGGCTGTGTGAGCAGCCAGAGCAGAGCCATGCCAGGAGCGGGCGCTAGGGGGCGGTGTGCTCCACGCTTCCCCTCCGGGGCCCCACGGGTGACACGCCCCCAGCCCTGTCCCCAGCCTGGAGGGGCTCGGGGCTCCTGCAGGAGCTTGGGGGGCTCTCCAGGGCCCCCAGCCTCAGCCAGCTCCAGGCCCTGCTCAGATGGCCACTGCCCCCTGCGCCACTGGGATCTGGCTGTGCCTGCTGCACATCCCCGGGACACGTCGCCCACCAGCCCTGGGGCAGCTCCTCCCCGCTCCTGCCAGCCCCAGCCCCACGCCAGCCCCTTGGTGCTCCAGGCCTGGGCAGGGGAAGGCGCACCCTGACAGCCGGGCCGGCTAGCGAGGGGGGCCCGGGGCCTTTTCGCTTTGGGAGGAAGCAGCCGGGGCCAGGATCTGCTCCGGCAGCCCTCGGGGCCCAACACGGGTCAGCCAGGAGCCATGGCGCGGCTGGAGAGCCTCCGCTCTAGGCCCTCCCTGGCAAACAGGGAAAGAGAGGCAGAGCGGGGCAGGGCTCCCGGCTGGAAGGCAGGACGCAGCCGCCGGCTCACCTGAGCACCAGCTGCAGCATCACGTCCTCGCAGTTCAGGTTCAGCAGCGTGCGGAAGAGACTCAGAGACACCATGCAGAGCTGGGGGGAGAGAGGGAGGGGTTAGGCGGGCAGGGCCCCATGGCAGGCACTAGGAGGCCCAGGCTGGCTCCTGGCGCTTGCCAGCACTAGCAGCGGGGCAGCACCGTGGCCAGCTCCGGCCCCTCGGCAAGTCCCCCGGGGGAGCTGAGCACTTGGGGGGACAGGCCCCTGGAACCCCGAACCAGGGAGCTGGGGGAAGGGCAGGGCCCATCCCCAGGAGCTGAGGTAAGCTGCGAGCCTCTACCCGGGAGCTGGGGGCCCATCCCGGGGAGCTGGGGGGAGGGTGGGGGCCCGTCCCCAGGAGCTGGAGGGAGCTGGGGGGCCCATCTCCGGGAGCTGAGAGGTGCTGGGGACCCGTCCTTGGGAGCTGGGAACCTGTCCCTGGGAGCTGGGGCCCATACGCGGGAGCTGGGGGCCGTACCCGGGAGTTGGCGGCGATGCGGGCGACGAGCGTGTCGAGGATGGTGCTGTTGTCGTGCCGGTGCAGCAGGATGAAGCGCAGGAAGGTTTGGAGCAGGGCCGGGTCACTGACGCTGCGCAGGAACAGCTCCAGGTACGCCGTGCTGGCCATCAGCTCCTCCACCGCCGTCTGCGGGACAGCCGCTCAGCCGCACTGC